CCTCCCCCCCCCCAACGTGACACTCGCCTCACGGACCCCGGGGTCGGCGGACTTTTTATTCTGTTGAGTTGGGGTCTTGCTAGGCGGGCCCGGCTGCAGGGCGGAAAAAGAAGATTCCGATTCTCTTTTATTTATCGACTCGTTTTTGAGTTGGGATCTTGCTAGGCGGGCCCGGCCGGAGGGCAGGGGCACGCTCACGGCCGCCGCGGCCGCGACCCCCTGGGCTCCGGCGACCCGCCCGCCTGGGCCTCCCCGAGGGCCGGGGTGACAGGCCCGCGCCCCCCAGCCCGGCTCATTCTTTTCTTTCCTTCCACGGTGGGGTCTTGCTACGTGGGCCCGGCGCGACTCACCGGCCACGGCGTCTTCGAGGTTGAAGTCGTCGCCTGAAAGAGACGCAGGGAGCGGGCGCGTTGGCGGGACGGTTCGAGGGTCGGGGATGGGAAGACGGGGAGGGGGCGGGAGGCCGGAGACGGCGGGGAGACGAGAGACGGGAGCAGAGACACAGGAGACAGAGACGTCACCCGAGAGAGACAAGGAAGAGACGAGAGACAGAGACAGAGAGGCAAAGACAAAGAGACAGACAGAGACAGAAAGAGACAGAGAGACAGTGAGAGATGGAGACACAGAGACAGGGAGATAGAGACAGAGACAGAGAGACCAAGAAAGATGGAGAGAGAGACAGAGATAGGGAGACAGAGAGAGAGGGAGAGAGAGACAGACAGAGACAGAGAGACCGGGAGAGAGGGAGAGACAGAGACAGAGAGACAGAGAGAGAGGGAGAGACAGACAGAGACCAAGAGAGAGGGAGAGACAGAGACAGAGAGACAGAGAGAGAGGGAGAGACAGAGACAGAGAGACAGAGAGAGAGGGAGAGAGAGACATAGGAGAAAGAGATGAGAGACAGACAAGATGCACAGATGAGAGACAGAGACAGAGAGGGAGAGACAGACAGAGACAGAGAGACAGAGAGAGAGGGAGAGAGAGACAGAGAGACCAGGAGAGAGACAGAGACCAAGAGAGAGGGAGAGAGAGACAGACAGAGACAAAGAGACCGGGAGAGAGGGAGAGAGAGAGACAGAGACAGAGAGGCAGAGAGAGAGGGAGAGACAGACAGAGACAGAGAGACAGAGAGGGAGAGAAAGACAGACAGAGACAGAGAGACAGAGAGACCGGGAGAGAGGGAGAGAGAGACAGACAGAGACAGAGAGACCGGGAGAGAGGGAGAGACAGAGACAGAGAGACAGACAGAGACCAAGAGAGAGGGAGAGAGAGAGAGACAGAGACCGAGAGACAGAGAGGGAGAGAGAGACAGACAGAGACAGAGAGAGAGACCAGGAGAGAGGGAGAGACAGAGACAGAGAGACAGAGAGAGAGGGGGAGAGAGACACAGGAGAAAGAGATGAGAGACAGACAAGATGCAGAGATGAGAGAGGAGAGAGACAGAGACACACAGAAAGAGACAGAGACACACAGAAAGAGACAGAGACAGAATCAGCGAGACACAGAGAGAGACAGATAGAAAGGGAGACACAGAGGGGGAGAGACACTGAGACAAAGAGATAGAGAGATAAACACAGAGACACAGAAAGAAAAAGACAGAGACAGAGACAGAGAGACGCCCAAAAGCGAGAGACCCTCGTCCCCCCGCCCCGTGAGTCCCTTGGACCCCGACCTCCTGACGCCGCCCCCCCCCCGGGGGGCTTCAGGGACCCAGGAAGGCAAACGCTCGGACGTCCCCACGACTCGGGACGGGAGGGAGGCCACAGGCCGGCGGTTCGAGACCCGCCGGGCCCACATAGCAAGACCCCATCTTTGTGGGGGAAAAAAAAAAAATGTAAAGAAATAGGCGGATGTGGTGGCGCCTGTCGTCCCAGCTACTCAAGAGGCTGCGGTGGGAGGATGGCTTGAGGCCAGGAGTTCGAGACCGGCCTGGCCAACATAGTGAGATCCCACCTCTAAAAATAAATAAATAAATAAAAAAAATAAATAATAATAATGCGAAAAATAGCCGGACATGATGGCGCCTGTCATCCCAGCTACTTGCGAGGTTGAGGCGGGAGGATGGCTTGAGGCCAGGAGTTCGAGACCAGCCTGGCCCACATAGTGAGACCCCCATGTCTAAAAAAAAAGAAAAAATAGTAATAACAATAGAAAAACTCGCCGGACGTGACTCCTGTCCTCCGGCCGGGCCCACACAGCAAGATCCCAGCCCCCCCAAATAAAATCCAAGCAAAAAGTCATGAAGACCCCGAGAAGCAAAGCGCCCTGAGATGCCCCCAAAAGGCCCCGCACACCGGGTGGGCGCTACCGCCCGAGGGCGTCCACCCCAGGGTCGTTCCCTCCTTACCGGCGCCAGGCTTCCTAGGGGCGGGCACGGTGGGCTTCGGCTCCTCGGCTGCGGAGAAAAGAGACTCCGGTGAGACACGGCCAGGGGCTTCCCTGGAAAAAAGCCCGAGACGCCTTTTTGCGAGCCGGGGTCTCACTGTGCGGGCCCGGCTGGAGGGCAGGGGCGTGATCCCGGCTCACCGTGGCCTCGACCTCCCGGGCTCAAGGCGGTCCTCCCGCCTCGGCCTCCCAAAGGGCCGGATCGACAGGTGTGCGCCACCACACCAGACTATTTTATTTCATGTTTTGTTTTATTTAATTTACCTTATTTTTATATCTATTTTATTTCATTCTTAAATTTTATTTTAGTTTATTTTGTTATTTAATTTTCTACTTAATTTTTACTTAATTTTTTACTTATTTTATCTTATTACTTTATTTTGTTATTATTTTTATTACTTATTTTATTTTATTTGTTATTTATTATTTTATTTATTTTTTATTTAATTTTTTACTTATTTTATCTTATTACTTTATTTTGTTATTTTTTTTTACTTATTTTATCTTATTTTATTTTGTTATTTATTATTATTCTATTTTATTTTTATTTTATTTTTTATTTTATTTTCTTATTTTATTTTGGTATTATTATTTTATTTTTATTTACTTTACCTTATTTTATTTGCTTTTATTATTTTTATTTTTTATCTATTTTATTTTACCTTATTTTATTTGTTTATTATTTTATTTTTTATTTTCTTTTTTATTTATTTTATCTTATCTTATTTTTTTATTTTATTTTCTTATTTTTTTATATCTTATTTTACACCTTATTTGTATTTTATTTTATACACTTTATTTTACTTCGTTTCATTTCATGTTATATTTTTACCTTGTTTCATTTCATTTTAGTAAAGACGGGGTCTGGCGATGCTGCCCAGGTGGGCCTCGAACTCCCGGCCGCCCGCGTGTCTCCTGCCTGGGCCTCCCAATGTCCCCGGGTGACGGGTGCGCACCACCCCACCCGACAACATTTTTTAAATTTCACCTTTTATCTTATTTTAACTTAATGACGTTATTAATTTTATTTCACTTTTAAATTTTATTTTATATGTTTTCTTTCACGCTTTCCTCTTATTTCGTCTCATCTCAGTGAAGGCGGGGTCTG